CGTCTCTGCTTCAGTTTTTTCATTCATAATGTGGAAATAAAAATAATACCCACCTCATTGCACTGCGAGGGTCAAATGAGGCAATGATAATGTAGAACTAACCAGACACCTGACACACACTGGCACCTGCTCTGCTCCATTAGCATTGGTAGTGTTGGCTATTAATCATCATATTATTTGGATAAATTTAAAAACTTTTAAAAATTAGGAGAATGAAGCCAGAAAAGCTATAGGAAGACAGTGTTTCAAGAAGGTAGGAGTAAAGATTAGATACCAAACCTCACTGGGAGTAAGAGAAATGCACATTAAAAATGACATGGAGTTACCACAGTTCTCCTCTCAAGTGGGCAGGTGAAATTGTGTTGAAAACAGATACTTCCATATACTGTGGGGAAACAGTTACTTCCATATTCTACTTGCTGGTATAGGTGCAAACGTCAGAATCAGATAGAGGGCATTTGGTGGGGTCTTATAACATTATACTCTTTAACCCGAGTCATCCAGCTGCTGGAAGTTTCTCCTAAAGATATACTTGTCGCCATGTGAAATTACTTAAATACAAGATTATTAATTGCAGCCTTGTTTACAGACGCAAAAGATTACTCACAACTCAAGTGAGAATCAACAGGAGACCCCATAAGCGAGTGATGGTCTACCCATACTTTGGGATACGAGGCAACTGTTAAAAAGAACGAGAAGACTATGATAGCCTCCAAAGTGTAGAGAAAAAGCATGTTGTGCCCGATCAATGTAACTAGCAAGCCATTTTTGCATAAGAAAATAGATGGATATAAGTATTTAGCTTTGTATAATATAATATTTGCTTCTGTTTGCATGAAGAAATAAATGCTGAAAAGACACAAGAATCTAATAAAACATGTTACTAGGAAAGGCTGAAATGGAAAGTGGATGGGGATGAGGTGGAAGTGAGTTTGACTTTTACAGTTTCTGAATTTTTCATACATTTGAAACTGAAATATTACAAATGCAGAAATGTGCCTAAAACATTATAGTTCAATGAAGACTCTTGTAGTTACAACCTCTAAAAACCATTTTTTATTTTTGTTTCATGTGCAAGGGAAAAAAATATATCCAAAACACTAAATTAAAAAAATAGGGCCGGCCGAGTGGCTCAGTTGGTTAAGAGCTCACTCAAGAGTTTGAGCTCTGAGCAACAGCGGTTCGAGTCCAGCCCGAGCTGAGCTGCCACTGAGATGCCAACAAGCGGCAGGTTGAAAAAAAAAAAAAAAAAAAAAAAAAAACAAATAAAAAAATAAAGAAGTGCTCAGCAGCTCAGCCATGTTGAATTATGCTACCTAAGCTGAGTAATGACAGATGTTGATAAATGGCTCCAACATCTGAAAAGATGTTCAATCTCAGTAGGAATCATGGAAGTGCAAATTGAAACCCCAATGAGATGCCATTTCATCCACACCTGATTGCCAAAACTTAAAAGTTCTGAAAATACAAGAGTTTGAAAGGACATGACGCAAGGGAGCTTTCCTATGCCTTATGTTGACTGGGATATGGTAGAGGTACTGGTTAATCTTTAATTTGTTAAGTATGCCACTTAACATTGCTAGCAAGTCCATCACAAAAAAAAAGACAGAGCATATTACTTCCAGTAAAATCAGAGGAAAAATTGAATTGAAAAAAATATAAAGGGGACTTTTTTTTTATCAGTTCCAAAAAAGGCAATAGAGATGGGAGAAAAAGCAAATAAAAGAACCCACAAATGCTACACAAATAGAAAGCCTATAAAAGATGGTATCAGATCCAAACATACCAGTAACCATTATAAATGCAAATGGAGTAAGTTGTCAGTAAAATGCAAAGATTATTGGAATGGTTCAAAACTACAAAGTTCAGTTCTTTGTTGTTTTCTAAAGACACATCTTAAACAAGACAAAAAATTTCAAACTCATGGATGTACAAATATATTTAAGGGTTACCATATAAAGGAAACTGTAGTAGTTATTTTAATATCAAATAAAAAACATGTACACAAATCCATAGGCTGTGGAGATAGGGATTAAAGAGAAGAAAGCAATGAGAGAGAAGCATTACATGGATCATCATGATAAGGTGCCATCATTCAAGGATTATGAATAACTCAAATCTCCACATTTGAAATCCACAAAGAGGGGAATATAGTAATATAAGGACATTTGGAACAATTGTAGGCCAATAAATTAAGACAACTTAAACGAAATGAACAAATTCCTGGAAAAACTCTACTTACCTGAATTGACTTGAGAAGAAATAGGACATCGAAATAGTCCATTTGAATCATTACAAAACTTAAATCAGTAGTTTAAAATATTCCTATAAGGAAAACAACAAAACCAGATGGATTTACAGGTGAAGTCAATAAAACATTCAAGAAACAGATAATTCGGGCTGGCTGAGTGGCACGTTGGTTAAGAGCTGGCTTGGGACGCCAGAGGGCCCCGGTTCAGATCCCACATATGAGGGCCAGTGACACTGCCCTCTACAGCTAAGATGCTGAACAACAGCTCAACCTGGAGCTGGACTGCCGTGAGTAACGACAGTGTAGGCTGCAGCCACTGCTGCAGTGGGTTGCCATGGGCTATCGTGTGTAGCCAACAGCCAGCGTGAGCAGCCAGCAGCCAGCGGCTGATCTGCCTCACCTGGGAAGAGAGGAATGATGGTGTCAACTTGGGCCAGTGAAGCAGCATCCTCCACAACTAGACTGAAGAACAAAAAGAACAGCAACTTGTCTGTTCCCTTTCCCCCAATTCCCCAATAAAAATCTAAAAAAAAAAAATTAAATGAGACAAATTATATGGTTATCTCTCTATGGAAAAGTGTACAATAAAATTCTATTTATAAAAAATCTGTCAGTGAACTAGGAATTGAAAGGACCTTTCTTTACCTTTTGCTGTGATGGTCAGATATATCTGAATGAATATATCCAAAATTTTTATACATAAAAATGTCATTTATGTACAAAGCAGCTCAAATTGTTATTATTAAATGCATAAAATAGTCAAACTATCAATTTTTTGTTGTTTTTTTTTGTGGATTTCTGACACATTTTGAAAAAAAAATCTTGAAATCAATTAACGCAGCGAAAGAGTTAATATGGTGACTCTTCAAAAAATCTACAACAGACATCATGTCATACATAATGGTGAAATGTTGAAAGTATTCGTTTTAAAATGCCTTCAGGGGCTGGCCGAGTGGCATGATGGTTAAGAACTGGCTTGGGATGCCAGAGGGCCCCGGTTCGGATCCCACATATGAGGGCCAGTGACACTGCCCTCCTTTAAAACAAAACAAAACAAAACAAAACAAAACAAAACAAAATGCCTTCAGATATATAGTGTAAGGAGTAAAGGACAGAAGCCAAAACAGCGAGGAGACGACTGCAATAATCTGAGCAAGAGCTGTTGGTATCTGGACCAGGATGAGAGCTATGGAGGTGAGTGTGATGTGGTTGATTCTGGCAAGATTTTGAATGCAGAGCAGCCATGATTTGCTGATCAATCAGATGTAGGAAGTGAGAGACAGTGAGTCAAGGACCATCCCTAAGTTTCTGTCTGAGCTCCTAGAAAGAATGAGCTGCTACTACTGCAAAGGGGAAGATGTAAGGGGGTAGGTAAGTTTAGGATTGGCAACAATCAGGAACTCTGCAACATGTAGAGTTTGGATACCTATAGACACCCAGTGGAGATGTATGTCAAGGAGGCATCTGTTAAGAGGAGATGGGAGTTCAGGGGAAAGGAATAAAAATTTGGGCATTGTCAATGCACAGAAGTTTTGAGAAGCGTATTATGAGTTACAGGCTATGTGATACAGAGTCATGGAGGGTGAAGGGTTAAAATTGGGGAAGTTAAAGAAAAAAACAAAAAACAAAACCAAAAAAACCAAAAAACTAAAAAAACACAAAACAAACATAAAAACCACACACACACACACACACACACACACACACACACACACACAAACACACACACACACGATTGTGGGAGTTAGGAGCAACTGATGATCAAAATATGAGCCAGCCATAGGAAAATCAGAAGAGTGTTGCAGATGATGGCAATGCAAAGGCTCTGAGGTGGGCCTCCTGGGTGGGTGTTTTCCAGGCGTGGCCTTAGTGAGACTCTCCACTACCATGAGAAACTGGCATCATTAACCCAAGGGTCCTAGAAGGTCAGATCTTGCTTTCATCAGCCGGGTTAGGCCTGTGGTCCTCAGAGAAAGGACTCTGGGGCAATGGCGCCCTCTGCTGGCCAGGACAGATATCAGTTCCATTACCCACAATAACAATCAGTATTATATATTTTTTCTATTGCTATTATTATTAGTGGAACACAGCCAGTGCTTAATAAATCCGTGACCCAGCCTTTCTCATCCCTGTGCAGCATGGAGACTGGCACTAGTGGGGATGTATATGAAGGTGTACATTGAATGAATAGACATGGCCAGATTCAGGTTTTGTCTCCCCTTCTGTAAATCTGGGATTCCTGCTTTCATTGAATAAGCTAATGTTGATTGAGCAGGTACTATGTGCTAGGTCATATTCTAAACTCTTGGGACAAAGCAATGAACAAGACAGACAAAAGTCTGTGCCAGGCAAAATGTAATGATCTTTACATCTATCCTCATTCAATCTTCACAATGTCCTTATGCCAAGATGCTATTATTCGCCCCATTTTATGGAGGATAAAATTATGGCTTAGAGAAGCTTTGATTGTAGAGCAAGGAAGTGGCACGAATGGGACTCGAACTCAAAAGACAATTAAAAAAATTTATTTTTCAATTACAATTGATATACAATATTAGTTTTACTTGTACAACGTAGTGATTAGACAATTATATAACTTACAATGTGATCACAAGACAATGTTTGATACTCGCTACAGTGCTTTGCGGGTGTGAGCGAACTGGGATCCCAGACAAGACCAGCAAGCCACTGTAGTTGTTGCCATGGTCCCACTGACGCTCTCCCAAGGAGTCTGCGTCACACGTCACGTGACTTTAGACAATATGGCGCCACCTAGGGTACTGCCCACGTGGTTCTGGCAGGCAAGATGGCGGCCGCAGTCAGCCCGACTTCCCTGGAGTCGGCCCCACTGATCTTCCGTCTGGTGGCCGAATGCAGCCGCTCCAGGGCCCGGGCAGGCGAGCTGCGGCTCCTGCACGGACCGGTGGCCACGCCAGTGTTCATGCCAGTGGGCACGCAGGCCACCATGAAGGGCATCACAGCGGAGCAGCTGGACGCGCTGGGCTGCCGCATCTGCCTGGGCAACACTTACCATCTGGGTCTGAGGCCGGTGGGTGGGCTCTGCCTGTCCCGGGTGGTGGCGGAGTTTGGGGAACCCTGGTGCATCCCCTAGGCCCGAGCACGCCTCCAAAAGTCAATGGACAAACGCTTATTGAGCGCTCCCAGTGGCCCAGGCCTTGTGCTAGGCGTGAGGGAACGGCGGGGACCCAAGTTGGCTATCCCTGTGTCTCCACGTGAGCTCTCAGGGTCGCGCTCACCCTTAATCTAACCCTCCCCTCCAACCCAGGGCCCCGAGCTCATCCAGAAAGCCCACGGTCTCCACGGCTTCATGAATTGGCCCCACAATCTGCTGACGGTGAGGTGGGGTCGGGGCCGGGATGAGAAAGCGCTCCTCCGAGGTGGAACTCCCCTAACCTCTCTCCTGACTGCCCTGCGGTGGGTTTTCCCCCAGGACAGCGGCGGCTTTCAGATGGTGTCCCTGGTGTCCCTGTCCGAGGTGACGGAGGAGGGCGTCCGCTTCCACTCCCCGTACGACGGCGATGAGACCCTTCTGAGCCCAGAGAGGTCCGTGGAGATCCAGAACGCACTGGGTGAGCATATCCTAGGGAGCGGCCCTTTCCCCTGCCTTAGTGAATAGAGGTAAGGCGGCCCGGCCCCTTACGTGCTGCGTGGCTTTGGGCTAATCGCTCACTCCCCTTCCCTGAGCTTTAGTTGAGCCAACTTAAAAGCGGAGAGCTCACAAGATGCATGTGATGTTGGTGATCTCTTAGCACAGTGCTTGGCATGTAGTAGCTTTTATTATTAATCTTTTGCAATTATTACTCTTAAATTGCAAATTGAGCAAAGATATGTTGAAATAATGGAAGCAACAAGAGGTGATTAGTAAGGCTTTAGGCCCCTCCCGTCTCCATCTATATCCCGAATTCTTTGTTAAGGACAATGAACATTTTCCCAATCTTATAAAGTGCTAAGGAAACATGGGTACAAACCTTCCCATCTTCTAACCAGATGGTGCTTTTAAGTGCCTCCATAAATTCTTTGGCTTCTACTCATAATCATAGTGCTGGGTGTTAAATCATCCATGGAACTTACAGTCCACAAGGGAGACAGGCATTGGTGAGAACGTCACAATGAGAAAAGGGAAAAAAACAGTGCAGATAGAGTGCATTGTATGTTTCTATTTGTATGAAAAAAACACACAAAAAAACATCACATATATGACTCGCTTTTTTTTTTTTTAAGATTTTATTGGGGAATTAAGGGGAACAGTGTTGGGGAACTGGGGAAGGGGAACAGCCAAGTTGTTGTCCTTCAGTCTTAGTTGTGGAGGGCGAAGCTAGCTCAGCTCCAAGTCCAGTCGCCATCCGGCTGCCTGTCTTTGTTAGAAGCTCGGTGCTCTCACCAGCTGAGCCATCCGGTTACCTGTTGGCAGCTCAGTGGCAGCTCAGCTCCAGCACAGCTCACTGGCCTATGTGGGAATCGAACCGGTGATCCTGTTGCTCAGAGCTCACACTCTTAACCAACTGCTCCATTCGGCCAGCTCCAAGAGACGTTTCACTGAATATCCTGTTACAGTTTTTAAAATTTTGGGGTATTTTGAACATTTGGAACCATGTGTATGTATAATTTTTTTTCAAATAAGTTATTTAAAATTTTCTAAAAGGCACATATAAAGTTGAGATTATGAACATAAAGGCCAAGTACATGGAACTATTGGATATGATTCAGTATGCATGTTCAGGGAAGGCTGCCCTAGACCTAAAACCTGTGGATGAGGAGGGATAAACTAGGTGTGTTCAAAGGGGGAAAATGTGTTCTGAAAAGAGGAAGCAGTCAGTGCAAATGACCCAAGGTAGGACGAAGACTGGCATGTTGGAAGAACAATAAGGAGGCCTGTCTGGCTGGAGCAGAGTGAGGGAATGGGGAGAGTGGGAGGTGAGGAAAAGGAGTTGACTCGGGCAGGTTCTGAGGGCCTTGTGAGTTTTGATTTGTCCTTAAAAAAAAAATTGAACAAGAATACATTTTGTATACTTTTCTATACAAAAATGTGTATAGAAAGCAGTGCCCTTCCCATGCCTGTCCTCCATTCATCTCTGTCACTCCCACAGACCACCAATGTTTCTAGTTTCTTATATATTCTTCTAGATTTTATGCAAATACACTGTCAGATGTCAGATACTATTTATGGCACATTCTTCTTCTGTAACTTGCTTTTCTTTATTTAAATTCAAGTATATGCTGAAACAGAAGCAATCTCATCCACCTGTTACCCAGTTTCAACAATTACCAGATCATGACCATTATGTTAAATGTTTCATAAAATTTTCCTGTAAAACCCCTGGGTCTGCAGTTTTGTTGTAGGAAGGTTTTTGATGATTAATTCAATTTATATAACATGTTGATAGGGTGTTCAGATTTTGTGTTTTGTCTTGGGTCAGATTTGGTAAGTTGGATTTTTCAAGAAATTTGGCCATTCTGTGAACTTTATTTCAATTTTCTGGGCATAAAGTTTATCATAATATTCTATTATTATCCTCTTAATGTCATAGGATCTGTAGTGATGTCACTTTTTTCATCCCTGATACTGGTAACTTGTAATCTCTTTTTTCTTGATCAGTTTACTAGGGGTTTATTGATTTTGAGTTGATTTTTTTCCAAAAACCAATTTCTGGTTGGTTTATTTTATCCCTTTGTCTGTTTTGTTTCTTTTCTTTTTTTTTAAACAACTTTATTAAGATATTATGAACATATAATTGATTCATTTAAAATGTAACCTTCAGTGGTTTTTAGTATATTCACAGAGTTGTACAACAATTACCATAATCTAATTTCAGAACATTTTTATTACCCCCAAAAGAAATCCCGTACCGATTATCAGTCACTCACCATTTCTCCCTCCCCAAGCCCTAACTAATCTACTTTCTGTCTTTATAGATTTGCATATTCTAGACATTTCATGTAAATGAAATCATACAATATGTGATCTTTTGTGAATTGCTTCTTTTACTTTGTATAATGTCTTTGAGGTTCATTTATATTATAGTGTGAACAGTACTTTATTCCTCTTTATAGCCAAATAATATACCATTGAACAGTTATGCTTCATTGATATTTTAAAATAGTTGCCATTTACATATTCTGTTTATTTTTTAATTAAATTTTTTTTGCTTTGGTCTTTTTTTTCTAGCTATTTAATCTTCTTAGATGATTATTAATGTAATAATCGTTAAACCAAATGTAATATATTAAACCAAATCCCAGACATCCTATCAATTCTATAAGTATTTTAATTTGTATCTCTAAAACATAG